GGTTTTTTAAAAAAAAATAGAAAAAAAGAAAATCTTTTGGGGGGGGGGGGGGGTGCCGCAATGTTGAAAAGTGGTGTTGGGGGGGGGGAGGGGAGGGGGTATGGCAATTGACAGGCGATTGCCTGTGAGTTCTTGGTCGCCTGTCCATTGACCAATCATCGCTTTGCGGGTGCCGAGGAGCGGCACAATTCCTGCATACGTGCCTGAGGCAACCTTCCACAACGGAGGTTTCGTCCGCTTCCGACGAGGATGCCACGGGCGGTAGTCATCGTGCAGGGGGTAGGCAGCAGTCCAACTGCGCAGGAACTCGGTACTTGAGCCGCAACATGTTTCATGCCAACGGGCCTCTGGGGAAGCTCAAGACCGAGCGAGCGACAGCAACGAGCCTATCGAGGACAGGTCGTGATGAAAAAAGAAAGAGGATACCACGACGCGCTAGACACGGCACACTGCATGATACGCTATTCAGCCGTGAGCACGGCAACAACAAAAAAATATCGCTGACAACAACAACAACAACTTCTACAACAACAACGACAGTGCTCGGGGCGCGAAAATGGGAGAACATGCAAACAAATCACAACCACCACCAGCAACGCCAGCAGTCAGATTGTGAGAAATGGGACAGCCTGCAATCATACGAACTGCAGCCAACAACAACAGCAACAACAGCAACAACAACAAAAACAAAAACAACAACAACAACAACAACAACAACAACAACAACAACAACAACAACAACAACAACAACAACAACAACAACAACAACAACAACAACAACAACAACAACAACAACAACAACAGACCTATTTCACTCTACTCACGTGGGGCATACTCGTAGCCCCCAGTGGAGCAGGGCGGACGACACCGTCGCCAGGGGCTCCCACTCCATGCCATCGGGCGAGTCTCTCGGCGGCTGAAAGACCGTCACGGCATGCAGGCAAGACACCACACACAGAAGGCACCCGCCATCCCACGCGCAGCCTGTACATAACACCATCAAACAGCAAACAGCAAACAGCAACAACAACAACAGGTTCGGAAGGTGGTAATGTCGGATTAGGCAAAGGCGTTATCAAGCGGAGCGGGCATCCGCGAAAATTCAGGGGGAGGGGGGCCAGCACCCAACACACCGGATCACGAGATATCGATGACGACGATGGCAGTCAACCGGTCCAAAGTGCGGCGTGTTCGTACTCCATGGGGGGGGGGCGCTGGGTTTGTCGACCCAGCAAGAAAGGCGAGGGAGGGATATTCTACTTCATTCTTGAGGCAGGGGGGTGGGCGAGGGGTGGTTTTCGCACCAAATTCCACTATTTTCTGGATGCAGATGATCAACCGGGACACAGGCAACGGATGGCCAACGTACCAACACCATGAACAACATCAACACCAACACCAACATCAACCCAAACATGTACCCAAACATCAACACCGCCACCCTCACCACCCTCTCATCATCCCCAACACCAGCACTACCACCATCATCAGCGCTAACATCAACCAACGCCAACGCCGACTCCGACAGGCAACACCAGACCCACCCCTGGGGGACCAGGCCATGCCGGAGATGGTGTTCGAGTCCCCTCCGACGCTGCACTTCTCCAGGTGGTCCGGGTCGTCCGCGGCAAGGTACTTGAGACCCTTCCTCGCGAATTCCGCAGCGTCGCCGACCTGCCACGGCCAAACCGCCACCGCCAAAAGTTACACACACGGTTTGTTTGTCTCCCGATTAGCGCGGTCGTCGGAAACAATGAAAACAAACACACAAACCTTACATGAACGCGCACACGCTTGAGACACACGCAAATGAAGGCAAGATGAGGGCAGCAAGTACACGGAAACTTCGGGAAAGTACACCCGCGGCCGCGGTGGCCGCCCCGCTTGCACTCGAAACACTCGGTATGAGCGCAAGCGGAGTGGTGGTGCTGGTGGTTGCACACGGCGTTGTTGCAGGACTCGCAGACGTTGCCGTGAGGGTCGGAGACGATGGCATCATGGGCGGCCCGCATCGTTTCCACGGCATGGCGCCCCCGCCCTTACGCTTGGCGCCACTTATGAACTTGGGCACGCCACTGAGCTCCTAAACGAACTGAGCCCGATCTACCTGTTGGCCCTCCTCCGAGGAAATCACGAGTTTGCCGTGTAACCACAAACCAGCAGCACCAAACTGCTTGCCCTGTAAGCCGTGTTTAACTGCTGTCCTGTAAAACACGACTTGAAGGGCAAGCAGTTCGATGCTGCTGGTATGAGGCTACACGGAAAACTCATGATTTCCTCGGAGGAGTGCCAAAAGGTAGATCGGACACTGCTCATCAAGGAGCTCAGTGGCGTAGCTAAGTTCATAAATGGGGCTAAGGGTAAGGGCGGGGGCGCCGTGCCGTGGGGTGGGCCCCCTATGCAGACGCTTGCTTTAGCCCCGCACTTTGGCGGCGGCTACGGCGGTCCGCCGCAGCCGATGTGGCCAGCAGAACCGGGGAGGCCACCCGGGTTCCCTCCGCCCAGGCCACCCAAGCACGTGATTACATCAAGATGATCCGGGCCGCCCAAGATGCCATCGTCTCCGACCCTCACGGCCACGTCTGCGAGTCCGGCAAAACCGCCGGGCGCAACCACCATCACCATCACTCCGCTTGCGCTCATACCGAGTGCTTCGAGTGCAACCGGGGCGGCCACCGCGGCCGCAAGTGTGCCTTCCCGAAGTTTGCGTGAACTGCTTTCCGTTCGTCTCCCGTTTAGCAAGTTCGATGTAACAACGAACACACCATTGTTTTGATTGGATCGCGTGGTCGATGCAAACACACACTCTTGAGATAGCGTCCCACCTATGTACCCTGCTTCATTCAACTCCCTTCGTACCCACCCACCCCGCAATCGCCTCGAGTCTTCATTCACACCACCTTGCTTCTGTAGTTTTTTTTCGATGCTACCCGGTGGAGTGGGTATTGGTCATCACGAAAGAGAACAAATTGACAGTTGCTATCACCCCTTCGCCAATCGAAACTATTACACTCTGCGGATGCTGCATCGATTTTGGCGTTGGTAGGCATGCATAGGTGTATCGTCTCGCTTCTCGCGTCTTGCCGCGAGTCCACCACCGCTGCGTTTTCCAGGAACTTAACCACGCGCTCTGACGCTCACGACTACTGTTCAACGCAACTCCTTTGATGCCACGCAGACCGTACCCAACTTCCTCTCGTGTTCCCCATAAGGTGCAGTTTTGTAAACGGAAACATCGAATCGCTCTTATCACACCATATTGTACGGCCATGCAACCTTTCCGGGAAACCGCTGCAGGTCCAGGATGGTGCGGTCCACGTCCGGGCACGCGACGGAGAACGCGGTGAAGTCGTAGCGGTCCCTGCCCTCGAAGCGCGGCTGGTAGAGCAGCACCATCAAGCCCACGTTCACCGCCATGCGGCCATCTGCAGCAGGCAGAACCAATGGGGATAGGTGAGAGTTGCGTCGTGATACCGCACGCTTCGGTTAAATATCCGGAGATTGAAAGGGTTACGGGATTCGGAACCGACGGGGGGCGGCGGGGGAGACGTACGTGAGCAGGGACATTTTGATGGTTACGACAACGAGAGCAGGTACATTTTGATGTTTGACAGGAAGCGTCTGCGGAGTCGAAGGCTTTCATTTCGTCGGCGAGACCGCTTCCTCTCTCTCTACCGCTTTCCACCGGCATCCTACATAAGTTCATGTAGTAAACCATAAATTGGTGCGGACTTTCGTCACCGAGAACATCCGGAGATGATACCATCAAGGGCAGCACTGCGGCAGGCGGTGTACCTCACACAGACCGCGGCTTGCCACTATAATTATATCTAAATAGTAGTTACTCAAAGTAGCAGTCTATCGTGTGTATGCAACCTGGTGGTAGTGTTGAACCTTCTGGGGATTAAGCGACATGATGCTGGTGGTCTCGTGGTTAAACCTCGCAAACCTACCACTACCAGCAGGTTGGAGCTCGATTCTCGCTTCGCTCACTGGACTGAAAAAAAAAAGCGGTGGAAAATGATTTACACGGAACAACGCAAAGTAAGTCATGACTATATTCGACATCGCGATCGACCAGGGGAAACGGACGGTTGAGCCACTCTCGAGGAAAAGGCAGGCAACGCAGGAGGAAAGGCGAGACATTCAACAACAAAGCTCCTGTGTGATGATGAACGTCACATGTTTGTACTTGCCCCGCATGGTGGGTATGGAGACTGGCGACAGACGGGACGAACGCACACATGCAGTAGTGGTGCATGGGCAAAAACTTCATGAATAAACCTTTCATGACAACCACTAGAACGCTTTACAGTACAATAGTCAGTGTATAGAGTCGCATCTACTGCTCTACCTGCTGCCCATTTGACGCAATCCGCGGTTGTAGGGAGGTATCCCGGACGATCCAGCTCTGCCTCCGCTCTGGCGACAAACGTTCGCAGCGAAACAGCACAGATGCTTGAGCGATGTACCACAACACAATCACCCCTGACTGCTTGCATGGCGCGATCGAACGAGTGACACGTGCTGGTGCTGGTTTGCACTATGGCTGTTGCCTACAGGGAAAGCTGCCGCGGATACATAGACGACGTGTTGATATCTCGATAGGAAAGGTGCGATTGGATCAGCCTGGAGTGGTGCGGTGGCGGTTAGTGACGGCTTTCTGGCTCTTGCTTGGTACACTGCTGTCGAAACGTAACTTACACTCCCTCACCCTCCAAGACGCGCCCCATCTCGTGCCCAACACCACGAGACAGGACTGCACACAGGTCTCCAGTCTACCACGGGGTGCCTGCGGATCTATGTACTATGTATGCTTATATGCTTACGTAGAACGATCGCGCTTTGCACCAAGGGTGGTCAAGAGCGGCAGATATTTCAAAAACCGCGGTGCCAGCAGCAGACTGCCCACTACCTACTACTGCGAGGGAGACGGGCTTGACGCCAGCGTAGCCGCAACGATCAAACCCTCTCCCGGAAAAACGCGCCGGGACTGCGATGTGCACACACTCGCGGCTGCTGGAGTGAGGGGCCGAAAGCGGCAGAGCGCTACTGCCCTTGCTTTTACCGGATGGTGTAAACGTGTTTCGTGTTTTGAATCCCGATACACGCACACATGAGACTGCCTGGAGTGCGGGTACCCACGAATATCGATCGGGAGCAGGAGCATGGCAACGGACAGAATCTTACATGTTGGAGGTTAGGTCCTCCGTCTCGTCTGCAGCGGACTCCATCGCATACCCTTGGTGTGTCGATCGTGCGGTGAGCTGTGTACGCAGCCGCGGGTAGCACTGGAGCGCAAACCTCCTCTGCTCGGTGTTTCACGAAGACAGAGGCCGACGATATGCGGCACAATTACAATTTACGCCCTAATTCCGCCGCGCCCTGCTCCCTGGCCTCCCTTTGCTCTGTGTATCACAGCTCTCCGTCTCCACGCTACGCCTTACCCATCGCTCGTCTACTCTAGTACGGGTTTTGGTGAGACCAGCTGCAGGTCCTGTTATTTGTTTTTGCTGGTGTCCACTGCTCACATCGCTATTGCTCTTCCCCCCTCCTCAAATCCATTTTCAGCAACCACACAGCACCGATCAACGAAGCACCTGCTGCCCTCGGACCGCGTGCTTCGCCGTTGCCTACAGATAGCTGCTGCACGTCTGGAATACACTCATGGTTTCTATATCTGAAGCCGAGGTTGCCGAGGCTGCTGCCTCGTCGGCGCTGGAGACAGAAATCGACAAGGCGGTGAAGGCTGGCAAGGGATGGAAGGAGGGGGAGCGCGAGGCTTACCTCAAGAGGGTCAGGGAGGAGGAACACCCCATGTTCGCCGAGAGCATCGACGTGAGTTTTATACTCCGTATAAGGGGACGATCCCCCTGGTGTCCGTGTTGCCTTGCTTCTGCCCGTGTTCGATGAGAGCGTAGGCGTGAGTTGTATGGGGACGGCCCTCTCAGTGCCCGCGTTGCCTTTCTCTTGCCTGTGTACGTCGAGAACACAAGATGGGTTGTGGGGGCGATTCCCCCCCGCCGGGCCCGCGTTGCTTGCTCTTGCCCATTTTCGGCAATAGCATCGACGTGAGTTGTATGGGGGCGACCCCCCTAGTACCCGCTTTGCTTGCTCTTGACCGTGTCCGCCGAGAGCATCGAAGTGAGTCGTATGGGGACGATCCCCCTCTTGCACATGTTGCCTTGCTCTGGGGTGGGCTGTACGCCGTAGACGAGTGAAAACACCGGAGGGGAAAGGTGATGGCCCCAAAATAGACCTCGGTTGTCGGATAAAAGTTAATTTACGTTCAATCGGTCCCCCCTTTGCACAACGCGAAGCTGGTGTCAGCGCAACTGCACCCACCCGGATCGACGCCACGTTCCAAGGCACAATACGGGAGCCCAGCCCTCCTGGTGCGGCCCATCGTTCTGCTTGGTTCAAGGGGCTCGCGAGGAGGACGAGGCTTCTCGGAGGGTCGCTGTGAACCGAGGCGGGACTCGTCACGCCTCAGTTGCGCACGGCGATGAGACACACTCGTTCTCCAGCCTCCCTTCTCATGCAGCAGCCTAGTAGCCGGTCATCTTTTGCTGCCTGCTGCCATTGCCCCAGTAGGCTCTCCGGCACCATGCCTAAAACCCGCGTACAGCGGGTCTATCCCTCCCGAACAAGGAGTTACACACACACACACACCTTCCCACAACTCTGTTGCGCTTCGTGAATCAACCCCCCGAAACAATAATGCGGGCTGAACAGGAGATGGACCCTGGCGTGGTAAAAGCCTTCCAGGACCTGACGTACGAAGACGAGACGCCGCTGTCTCTGGGAGAACACTTCAAGCAGCTGGGCAACGACCGGTTCAAGAGGGGCAAGAAGAACGCCATGTATTTCCGGCACGCACAGCAGGTTGGATTGCGGTTCATGGGTCTGTAGATATGTGAACTGCGTTCAGGTAGACTTGTCGGCTGTTGCCTGCCTCGCTGTTGTGTTGTATGGCTGGACGACCAGGCTTCTCCACGCCCCCTTTTGACACAAGACATCCGCTGTAAAGTACGCTCCCATTAACCCTCAAGTACATAGAACCCCTAGGAAATTGCAGTACCTTCAGAAGCACAGGAACAGCGATCCAAATTGTCTCGAATGATGCAGGGACTAAGGCAAGCAGCATCACGAACAACCTCTCCCCCCCCGCCCCCAATCACGAAAGGCGTACACGGAAGGCTTGCGAAATGTTCGCCTCGGCGAGGAGACGCCCGAGCTGACCGCCATGGTAGTGGCGCTCTTGTCCAACCGAGCGATGGCCAACCTCGCCCTCAAGAACTACGGCAGCTGCCGCAAGGACTGCGACGAAGCGCTGGCCTTGTCCCCGGGGCACGTTAAGTGCCTCTACCGCAAGGGCAAGGCGGAGCTGATGCTGAGAAGACACGGGTGCGTGGAGTGTTGCTGATGTATACTTTTTTCTCGCCTCGCCGAATGCAGAGCCCTGTTGGTACACTTTTTCCCTCTATTCTACTAGCCAATGCCTGCGCGTAGTAGCGCAGAGGTTTGATGTGTCATGCATAGAGCCGCCATTTCTCCTTTCGGCCTGAACCCACGTTGAGTTTGGTTTGATGAGCCCCCTTCCAGCGAGACATGGCACGAGGTTATAATGAACCGATGTTCTCGAATAAAGCTCGAGGTCCACCCTAAACCAACCTGTATGCATGGGGTTTCGAATATTTTGCAATGATCCGTCTCCCGGGGCATCGAGATTCAACCAACAAGGTGCGTTACTCTGCTACCCTTACCATGGCACATGGAAAGTATCAGCATGGTACCAGCAAGACCACCTCCGCCGTTCTGACCGCGGGGTGTTGGTTATTCCTGTATTGCCGTGTGAACATAATATATCAGGGAAGCTCTGGCTGTCTGCGAGGAGGGACTGAAGATTGACCCGTCCAACACGGAGCTGCTCAAGATAAAGAAGGAGGTAGGGATGAAAGTGCATGTGTTGGGATGGCCTAGACTACTGTAGTTGTGGGGAAGCCGCTCCTTGAAGCCCAACCTGCCCAGCCTGGTTTAGGCCGGAAACGCTTTTTTCTGTAGACGTGAGACCAACATCAACAAACGAAACTACCAACAACAGCAGACCACTACACAACATGCGATTGACCGACCAGTGACTAAGAGGCGCACAATGTGCTTGGTTCATCATGGCAACCAAGACATTCTTCACGAAGAAAACGTTGTCCCCTCGCCCGACGACATTTCTTGCCGTCCCACGGACAGTGCGGAAGGGCATTGAAAGCGGCGGAAGACGCTACCGCGGCGCTGAATAGGGAGAAGGAGGAGCGGCTGGAGAGGCTGGCGGCGGTGTGGGACGAGTGCGAGGCCGCCGGGGTCAAGCTGGGGCCGAGCGGGTTCGACGAGTCCAACCATGAGCAGCGAAACGCCTTCCTGCCCATGGCGGACGACGAGGTACGTACTGTAGTGGATTACGACGTGGGATCTTGTAGGTTTCGACTGAGGGGGGGCGGGCGGGGGGTACTCGTGGCCTTGCATGCCGTTGTCACACGGGGGGGGATAGTCGCGGTCGTGCATAGCACGGTGACAAGGTGAGTAAAATACATGACGGAATGTGTGAATACAGACGGGGGGTTCTTTATGGAGGGACAGCAGCATGGGGAAGGAGGCATATACCCGGCTTCATGGAGGAATCTACCGTGATTTTCCATGACCCTTTAGCCCCCCATTTTGGCCCCCCATGGCGTGACCTCCTACAACTTTTGGCCGTCTACGTCCCAAAAACAGCCTGCCTGCTGAGGAGACGTTCTTTTGCCTGGGGGAGAAGAGATGGTTTGGAGTTTGAGTCCTGATGCGCATTGGAATATCGGAACGTTTTTGTACGGCCGTGTACCGCGATGTGCACAGGGCGATGAGAAACTACCAGCCCTGCCCGCAGGGCCCTGGCTCGGCTAGCAGCTCTGGCTTCCATGGGTCTTTTAGTTTGCTTGTCGTGGTTATCGTGTCCTTTTCGTTAACAGCGCGCACCCCGTGTGTTTGTGTAAGTTGTACTCCACTTAACACTACCCGCTACAAGTAATCGATCCTGCTGCGCGGTGTGTCCGCGACAGGGTGGCGTTATCTGGCCAGTGCTGCTGCTGTACCCCCAGTACGGCCAGTCTGACCTCATCCAGGCCTTCCGGGACGCGGACATGCTGGCCGAGCACCTCGCCGCGGCATTCCCAGAAGAGGGTCCTCCCGCGCCGTGGGACACTTCTTTCGAGTACAGGTGAGAATCAGGGGGGATAACCCAAGTTTTCGCCGTTCGACGTCGGTGTGTGTAGGTTGAGTATGTAGTTGTTTGGTTGACATTCGAAGGGTCGTTTGCTGGTGCCCCCGCGCGAGTCGGTGAATTGAAGCTACTCGTGATTGTGGAGGGTCTGGACCGCAGACACACCTGTTGTGCGGAGGTTTTGGGGGGCCTCTCGACCGTAACTCTTGCTCTCAGTAGTGATGCTGCTTTGGATTGACGGCGACATCACGGGGTTCGTCTTGCACCGGTTTTGTCTCATGGGTTGCACCGGTGTATGTGGGGGCGCACGATAGCAGGTATAGGTTGGAACATTGTTGCGCACGTCAACAACATCAGTATCGCCACCACCAACAAAAACAACACCAGCAGGAGCGACAAGGACCAGTGAAACCACCGATAAGGAGAACACCAAGTGTAAGGACGGCGACGACGATGACAGCGTCATCGATAAACTTGCCGGCAAACCCCAGTCGCGGAAGCAAACAACCACCCAACATCACACAAAACAAACAACACCTACGTCTACGATGTCGCTGCTGGGGACGCGATCGTGCCGCCCGACCCCAACCCCGAAAATGCGCGCCCCCGATCATAACATTGCCATATCAGGTGCAGCGAGCTGGTCATATACCTCCCCCTCCGACCGGTGGAACCATCGCCGTCGGTGTTCGACTGGGTGGCGGAGTTCGAGAAGATGGAGGCCGCCAAGGTGTCGGGGGCGGAAGAAATGAGCCGAAGGTGAGAGTGTCAAAATATTGGCACAAGTCTCGCTTGGGCGAGAGTCTTCTGGTTGGCAAGATCGTGTTTTCAGGCAACAAGTTTTCTATTCCATTGAAGTGTCGCCTGACCCTCTCGCCCCCCGCCCCCCCAACTTCATTTTCGTAGATGACGCCATGAATAGAGCGCAAACGATGATCATGCTTCTCACCAGAAGCACCCGAAGAAAACACATACCTTGTGCGTTTGCACTGGTCTCCTTTCAACGCCAGGAAGCGGTGTTCGTCCGTGTGAAACGTAGATATGGAATAGTCAACGGCCCGTGTGACGTGGCAACTATTGAATGCCCCACGTTTTCCTTCGCCCCCTCCCGTGGCACCAGATCGAAGGAAAGGGCGGCGGCGACGGCGGCCGCCGCCGCACGTCCCCAGCGATGGGCACGCGTCCACCCGGGGTGCACGCTGCTGCGAATCCTGTCCTTCGAGGACCACGTCGTTGCCGGCGCCACCCCGACGCTGCTCTTGTTCCCGAAGGACGGGCAGTCCCACAAGGATTTCTTGCGAGACAGCGGCGGCCGGATATTCACCCTTGACCCGTAGGAAGTGTAAGCATGATCTTGGCGTGTTGCTGACCTTTCCCCCCCGGTTGGTACTGTCTTTGTCTTGCCCTAAACCCTTGGTGTTTGCCTTACGTAGGGTAGTCTTGATTGTAGATTTGACTTGGTTCCCTTGTAAGTTTGGTACAGGCGTAGTAACAAGCAGGGCGGACTTCGAGGATGTCGTCAAATTTTCTTCGTCTGGTGTCTGCTCATCGGGATCGACGATTGCGGTAATCCCGAATGCCCAGCAGCCCTTGAAGCCAACTCCCTGCTGCTTGATCATGTTGGCTCAAAGAATATTTGTTAAGATGTACAGCATATCCACTATGCTAAAGTCTTGAGCTGACTTTTAGCATAGTGGATATGCTGTACATCTTAACAAAAATACAACCGGGGGCCGAATCCCTCTGGGACCACTTGTGACGCTTTTTTCCCGGAAAAGTCTGGGATAGGCCTGAAAGACGGTATACATTCCAGTCGTCCAAGTGAAGACACATATTCCCGCCCTGTAAGTCGATGAACCGCATGCGGGCAGCGCTGGTTACAGGGATTACAACCCTGGGGTTTACCGAGGTCCAACAGCTTTAGCAGGCTGAAGGACCCCGGTTGTACTTTTGTTAAGATGTACAGCATATCCACTATGCTACAAGTCAGCGCTGACTTGTAGCATAGTGGATATGCTGTACATCTTAACAATATTCGTTCCATAGGGTACACCTCGAATGCTGTACTATTAATGTCGTGGCAGCACACATGTTGCCTCCAAGGAGATACATGTCCTGTTCCAGCGAGGTAGCGTTTTCGCGGCGGAAATACATGAAACCGTCTGTCCTTCATGCACTACCGTCGGCGTAATGGCCATGAGCAGCGTATTGGGCGCCGCTTCGACGAGTGTCCGCGAGGCAGCCACCACCGCCACGACGGCAGCCATGAGACGAGACATAATCTTTCCAAGATGATAGTCGGGCAGTGCTGGAACGACGGCAACGAAACAATTGAGTTGAATTCAACCATTTCAGGGCATCCGTGCGGGTAGGACCGGAGAAACACCGAAAATTGCACTTCTGACCTAGCAACGGTATTAACACAACCCCGAGAAAGGAGAGTGGGGATATATTCACGAGAGGGAGAAAGAGAGAGAGAGCATGGCGATAATTGCACCTCTGACCCAACAACGGTATTAACACAACCCCGAGAAAGAGAGGGGGGATGTATTCAAGAGAGAGAGAGAGAGTGAGAGCATGACGATAGTAATTGCTTCCGTCGGTGCTTTCCTGGGCAGGACCGCCAGAAGAACACAAAAAGCATGCCGTGCTGTTGTACCTATCGGCACCGTTCCTCAAGCAAGACGGCACAAAAAACACCATAAATTACACATGCTTGTGTGAGCGCGCAAGAACTAACCGAGGCACCGTGCTGCATGGCAATACCCCCCCCCCCCCAATCTTGGAATGTTACACACACGTCGCGCCTGCACTTTCCATGCAGCCATTCACTATCCTAAATAGACACAATTGCGGGGCACTACTTTGGCTGTGGTGATTTCACGCGCCACGAATATGCACAGGGCCAAGCATGGCTTCGCACTCTTCCAACTATGATGCACTCCACTGCTACAATACGTTTTACGATTGTCCGGCGCCGAGCATCATGTTGATTCTCTGCATGATGTAGTCCTGCTCGGGATCGTACCTGTGCAGCGTACACAAGTTCAGATCGACGAAAAACAGCCGGAGAACGTAAGAGCAGCAACAGGAGGCAGGTCGAGCCAAAGCGACGGGCAGCGGAAAGGGGGGTTGCTCCCAAAGAGCCAAATGCACGGTCTCGTCTAACAGCAGTCTTGTCTAAACCGTACACACAAATGATACCACGCCGTGCTTTGACTGCCGAAGTCTAGACAAAACACAAACATCGTAGAATCATGACAACGAGCGACACATCGTTACCAACACAATAACATGGAAGCACTACAACATCGCATGCCAGCACTCACGGAACGTCCTTGCTGGGAATCTCTAGCACTGTGGGGATGGTCTTGGAGTAGCTCCCGAGGAGATGACGGATCTCGTTCGCAACGTGCTGGTTGATCAGCACGATCGCTATGTCATCCCTCGCCGTGAGGCGGTTGAAAGCGTCTTCGATTTGCGAGACCGTCGTGTCTGCGCGTTGGAGGCACAGGGGGCCGGCCGGCCGCACACGAGAGACGATTTCGCCAAAAAAAATCATGCAGCCTCAACGTTGATCAAGCACAGCGAGCGGTCCTTGGGTCAATGAACACGCTACTTGCTGCGGTCCGTGAACGAAAAAGCAACGACGGGAAGCGCAGGAGCGGGCCATCAACGTTTGAAGGATGAACACAACTGCGAAACTTGCTTGCTTTCCCCCAGGTGCGTACGGACTCAAGGAATTCATCTGTAACGCCAACAATGCAGATTCTCACCGTTCTTGACAACGAGGAAATTTGTTGTGTTGACGGTACGGTGCCCCACTCCCGCCAACAAAAATCCGGTCACAGTGTCCTGCCAACGCCAAGAGGTCAAGCAAGGAGCGCACCGCACACGCATGGGGGCGGACGACAAACAGCCGCATGATAGCACACCGTTTGCACGCCTTCTTTTCAGCACGATGTTTCCAGGTTTGGTGCTGTCAGGCCGCCCGAAAGTCCACGGCCCGCGCGGCGCATTCATCGAGGGCTTGGAAAGGGCCACGTGTGGATTTCACATCCCGGCTGATGGTGGCAAGGTGTTGAGAAGAATATTCGTTTGTGTGTAGCGGCGTGTTCCTCCAGGAAAAAACGGAATGACTGACCGACGCAGTAGAGATGAAACACATATGATTGCTGCTCGTTGACATCCGCATAAAATGTCCCCGTTGCCGGTGCCTTCTTGACCTGCGCTGAGTGCTGAGGGAGGGAAATTAGCAACGACATAGCGTTCGTTGCGCAATATTTATACTTCTATATCAGAAAGGTTGGATACAGCCACATCCTGAAGAGACCCAGGCATACTTGAGCGTGTGTGTCAGCTAGCGTTCGTAATACTACCCTCTGTTAAGGGCCGTAGGGTTGACATATTCGTCGGATCTAGGAAAAACTTCACCAGATCTGCCTGCTGTGTGTGTTGTGCTCGGCTCTGCCTACGTCCTATACACAAGATGGCGTTAGGTGTGATCAGCGACCATGAGCTCTGGCTGAACTGTAGGCACGGGCATACGCCATTAACCCTCGCGATTGAAAAAAGCATAGCCTACAACAGCGGAGAGATGCTGCTATGTACTGATGTAGCAGAGCAGCACGCGGAGCGCGGAGGCGCCTGCTGCTGCTGTGATGCTTCTTCGTACACATGCGGAGTAAAACGTCGGGTTCAGGTGAGATAGAGAAGTGCACAGAGGTTCAGCAGGAACCACAATGAAGGGAGAGTAGCGCGGCTACCAAAGAGTCTCGCGTAACGATCAACAACCGAGAAATATCACCCACCCAGTAGCACAAGCCGCCTTCGAGCGACCTCTATTGTACTACTGCTTTACTCTGCTGTAGCAGCAGCTGCTGCAAAGAACCGCTCCGAGAACAGAACCTAGACTTGCTTGCCCATTGGCTCCTCTCATACCTCGTCCCCGATGATAGCGATCAGCTTGCCACTCTCGTCCATGATCTCAACGAGAAGGCCTGTTCCTATCGGGTTCTTTTGGACTGCTGCGCTACCCCTCGGCTCTGTGCGCTGTGCAGCTGAGCGTGTTACACTGCACTGCTGGTGGGTGCGCTAGTGCGTTGCCGAGGAAGGTTTCTCTCGTCATGGGGTAGGGTCGAATTGTTCAGGCCTGTCTGCGGACCCCCTCGCCGTCTTTGTTTGTGTCTTGGTCATTCAGAGAAGCAGCGCGGAGGGGTGTCCTTGCGGTCACACCCACGCACTTGACATACACGCTGACGTGGGGAAGCAGTGCATACCGTGGACGACGACAGCGCCATCGTGAGGAACATTGCGCCGTGGAAGCCCGGACACCAACAGCTTTGGTTTCTGGTCGATTCCGTGGAACGATCGACCGTTTCCCGTTTTTTTGCAACAAATCGTGAGACACACAGGTGCAGCGGCAGCAGCAGCGTTACCTAGGGTCAGACGGAAACTGGAACAACAGACCCAGGCGTGTGCGGGAGAGAGAGAGAGAGAGCGAGCTAAGCGGCCGGAAAAGCACCAGAGGAATCCACCATGAGCGTGAAGCAGGTGCTCTCGGAGGCCCTGGGAGGCATCCAGGGCGCAAACCAACCGAGAGGTCTCCACAATTTCATCCAGGAGATCCGCCTCTGCTCCAACCCTACTCAAGAACAGGTGATCATCCCGCCCCCCCTCGGAATCAATCGGACCCCGCCGTGATTGGAATGTCTAGTGGACGATGGGCGGTCACGTTCTTGTCGATTGTGGTTCCCGTCAGCATGGAATGGACACATGATTCGCTGGGAGTTGGCAAACATGTTGTAGTATAGAAGTCCTTCACAGCAGAAGTTGTTTTGCCAGCCAACATGGCCTTGCACACGGCCGGTTGGTGTACTGTACACTGCCGTTGTATTTTGCTCTTGGCCTAGGATCATTTAATGAAAGTATAGAATTGGGTTTTGGATTAGGCCTCCAGCTCTGAGGCCGGCGGTCCCACTGATGCACTACCAGTCGGTGCGGCAGTGAATCTGTTAATGGTCCATTAACGTTTAAGGGCGCACGGGGGATCGCAGCGTCTCCTTTTCTACATTCCAGGAAACGCCTGCATATCTGAGTTTTCCGAACTCTTAATCCAGTACGATACTGACATCGCAAATGTGTATGGTACTATATTAGTATGCATATCTGAGATTGTAGCCCTTTTTTGCTGTTGAGTTTTGCTCTTGGCCTACAGTTGTAGGATCGTCTAATGAGGGTGTTGGATTTTGGATGAGGCCTCCAGCGCCTGCCTGTGGTCCCATACCTCTCCTGGCCGTGTCTTCTGTTCGATCACTGACCTGGAGCCTGGTTGAGTCACCCAAACTTTCGTGAAAATTGTCATTTGTATCCACCCTTCCGGCGGCGGGCACCGGCTGCAAAGTCGGCCTCGATGGCCGGAGACAGCGACGCCTCGCTGTTGGCAGTATAGTTGACCGCCTGCTCCCGAGCGGAAGCGGGTTCAACGTTATAGTACTTGGCCATGGACTCCGTTTTCCATCCCCCAACACACTGAACAGTGTAGTCTCACCACGAAAAATGGGGGGACTGCCGCCATAATAAATAGGACGAAAATACACACAAAACACCCTGCATCATCTTCTCTGTCGCGGCGCCTCCCGTGAACCTGCTCAACGCTCCCAACTACTCTCAAAGAATGCATGGTAAACTGGGTGTGGAAGTCGGCTGCCCGCAAGTGCGCCTGAAGGGCCGATGTCATGAGGGGTGCCGTGAGTTTGACGGGCCCGCTGCTCCCATGGTCTAGCACCGGCGGGAACAGATAGCCCTGGGACAAGTCCCATCCGGCCGCCTGGGCGGCGGCGATGTATTCCGGGACGGCTCTGACTGCACAAGTGTCCTGGTTGGCGCTAGAACGGATTAGTACGGCTTCAGTTCGAAGCCCGCACGGTCTTCCCATACAAGAAATTGAAAACGAAGCCTCCCGACTCCGGCAGCCGGAGCACCTGTGGCCCTCGCGTAAACGAAAACGAGAGGTCGAACCCCCGGCGCATGGCGTGGTGCGCGAGAGCAGAGAGGAATACGTAACCGTGGGTCTGTCTTACGGGGGGATTGGGGGTTAGCAGTGCGGGGCGAGCGGAGCGAGCGCGGCGGGAGGCACGGAGGCGGCTATAGCGCGCGGCGACGGGGAATTCATCTCCCTCTTGGAC